CTTCGATATCTTAACTCTCACTAATCTCAAAAAGTACTGTCACAAATTGGGCAAATGGTTGGAGATCTCTTCATTCATGAATTTCTCACACTCCAAAATATCCCTTCCTTGTGTTCGTCCTGTGAACCCTCTCAAATTCTCCCTGTGTAAGTACCTCCGAATTTTTCTGATTCATCTGACTCCCCATTGCCTTCTTTCCATCCAGCAGATAATCCCCCCTTGACTTCCTCCCAACCAGCAAACTTCCGCCCCTCCCTCCCTCAATTCCCCAACATGCAGTAAGAGGGAAAAAAACAAAAAAACCCCAAAAACAGTGGACCTTGGTGGCGTCTGTGGTTCAGAGAGGTAGGGCGCCGACCCCATGTGTTTTTGGTGGGTTCAAACCCAGCCCCGGCCAAAAACTGCAAAAACTGCAAAAAAAAAAAAAAAAAAACCAGTGGACCTGGAATGAAAAAAAATGCCAGACCCAATTTCCCCTAACTCCCCTCCTCAACTTCCTTCTTACCAGCAAACTTCCACCCCTGCACCCCCCACCCCCGTTCCCCAACATGCAGTAAAATAAAAAAATGGCTACCTGAGATGGAATAAAATGTGCCAGACCACGTTTCCCCACCCCATACTAGGTCTGGCCACGACTTCGGACCTCCCACTTCCACAAGACCACAACCCCTACACCCTCTCCGCGAGGTTGCAGGAACAGAAAGCATTGTCAGGGTTCCTGTCCCATTCTCTCTCTCACACCTCTCCCATGTAAGTCGAACATTAGGTTCATTCTCTACAGATCCCAGAAAATACTCTCCAGAATTTAGATATCTAACTCAATCAAATGATTTAACATGGCATCCTTACCTCCACTCTAACTTTGGAGGAAAGAGAGCAAGTCTGGACTCAAGCCCAAATTTACACTGAAGACCTACTCAGAATAGATCAAAGTCTGCCAGAGGGCACTAGGGCTATTCCCCAGGAGGACCCCAGTTGGAATTACCAAACTGATGCTGCTAGGATCCCCCTCCATAATCACATGGTCCAGTGTCTCTTAGATTGACTACTAAAAAAAGCAGCCCATAAGGCTGTCAATTATGTTAAGTTAAAAGAAATTACCCAAAAATGGGATGAAAATCCTTCCCACTTTTTAGCTTGTCTTAACAAAGCTCTCCAGAGATATACTACCCTATCATGGGAGAGCAATGAGGGCAGACTCACTGTCATGCATTTTATCTCTCAGTCTGCACCTGACACCCTGAAAAAACTCCAAAACTCTCCCCAGGGCCCCCAAACCCCTCAGCAAGATCTCATTGACCTGGCTTGTAAAGTTTTTAATAATTGTGAGGATGCTCTTAAAAGGCAGCAGCTCTCAAAATTCTAGTTATTGGCTTCTGCCATCAGACAAAACCCAGCAGTTTCCCAGAATTCCCCAGGGCACTCTGAAAAAATGAGATTTCCCCCAGGACTGTGGCAGGCCAGGTCACTGGGCAAACCTATACCCAAACCAAACCCAAACCCTCCCCACAAACCATGCCCATCCTGCAGAGGCCCTCATTAGAAGTTTAACTTGCCAGGTTCTTCTGAAAATTTGGTTCGCAGACACTCCCAGAATGGGGCTGGATCATGTTCAGCTCACAGAGGCCCTCATTGGAAGTTTAACTGCCCAGGTTCTTCTCAGAATTTGGTTCACAGATTCTTCCAGGGTTGTGTCCAGGAGTTCCACAAAGACTACATTGCCAAATAAGCCAAATTTAC